CTTTTTTCTTTTTGCTTATGTGGTGCTGAGGAATTGAACCCAAGGCCTCAGGCATGCAAGGCAAGCGCTCTACCACTGAGCCACCTTCCCAGCCCTCTTTCTTGCTTTTGAGTTTTTATTTTGTTTTGTTTTGCTGGTCCAGAGTCTTGAACTCAAGGCCTGGATGCTGTCCCTGAGCTTTTGTATTCAAGGCTAGTGTTCTATCACTTAAGCCACAGCTCTACTTTTGGCTTTTTGGTAGTTAATTGGAGATAAGAGTCTCAAGGACTTTCTTTTCCCAGGCTGACTTCAAACCATGATCCTCGGCTCTCAGCCTTCTGAGTACCTAGGATTACAGGTGTGAGCCACCAGCTCCTGGCAAGGACCTAGAGGTTTTTGTCTGGCCAGCCTTGACCATCATACTTCCACTTAAACCATGTAGCTAGGATGACAGGCATGGGCCAGCACACTCAGCTTGTATGTAGCGGGGGGCGGGTTGAGATGACATCTCACTAACTTCTTTTTGTCTGGGCTGGCCTCAAACTGCTATCCTCCTCATTTCCACCTCACTGAGTAGCTGAGATTACAGGTGTGAGCCACTGCTCTCAGCTATGCCATACCTTTTTTTTTTTTTTTCCCCAGTCGTAGGGCTTGAACTCTGGGCCTGGGCACTGTCCCTGAGCTCTTTAGCTCAAGGCGAGCACTCTACCACTTGAGCCACAGTGCCACTTCCGGTTTTCTAGTGGTTTATTGGAGATAAGAGTCTCAGGGACTTTCCTGCTCAGTCTGGCTTTGAACCTCGATCCTCAGATCTCAGCCTCCTGAGTAGCTAGAATTACAGGCGTGAGCCACCGGCGCCGGGCTCCATACCATTTTTTTTTGGGGGGGGGTTCGGTCGTGGGGCCTGAACTCTGGGCCTGGGCACTGTCCCTCAGCTCTTCAGCTCAGGCTAGCGCTCTACCACTTGAGCCACAGCACCACTTCCGGCTTTTTTCTTTTTGCTTAGGTGGTGCTGAGGAATCGAACCCAGAGCCTCAGGCATGCAAGGCAAGCACTCTACCACTGAGCCACCTTCCCAGCCCCTCCATACCATTTTTAAAGAACATTTTTTCCCAGTAGACAAAAAAATCATTAAAAGGCAGGATTCTCACTTGATAGATGACAAGATTTGAGGCTCTAAGAGACTAACTTTGCTGATGTCATCCAACCCAGTTCCAAGTCTAATGCTCTTCCTATGACCTCTGTCCCTAAAGGTGCTTGGGGTCAGTAAGCCCATGGCCAGCATAGTGAGTGCATCAACACTGTGAACCGCCCAGCCATACCTGATCAGCTAGGCACTCCTCATCCCCGCCCTTCCGCCCACCCTCCCCAGTTCCTAATCTAAACCCCTCTGGCCTCAGAATCACCCAAGTTCCTCTTGCTCTGTCCCAAGTTGAGAGGCAAGTGGTAGGTTTCCCTCTGGTCTGTCTTCACCCCTGAATATAACGCTGTCTTCAAAAGCAATCAGAATAGGATGAGGAGCAGCTGCCTGAGGAGAAGAAATCAAATATTCTGCCTGCACTCAGCCAGCTACACCAGCACTGGCCCCGAGGCTAGAAACCTGAGATTGTTCCCAGAGCTGGCAGCTGGCCCCTGCCATGTCCTCCGTGCCTTCCAGCAGAGGAAAGATGGGGGAAAAAATCACTGGGCTTAGTGGTAGATGAGCAGACTGGTGAGGAACCCACACACCATCTAACACACAGCCTGCGAAGAGGAGCACAAGAGGCAGGTCTTCCTAGAACTCCAGGAGAGTTTCAGAGACACATCAGGTCCACCCAGAGAACAAAGCAAGGACCAGAGAGACCAAGTATCCACCCACAGATCAGTGGATACACAAAATGTGCTACTTCTGTACAATAGAACATTATTCAACCTGCAAAAGGAAGGCACTTTGCACATATGCCATAGTATGAATGAACCTTAAAGATATTATTTTAAGCCAGACAGAGGACAAATCCTTACAATCCCATTACTTGAAGTATCTAGAGCAAACTCAGAAACCAAGTAGCATGGTGGCTGCAGAGGCTAGAGAAAGGGCTGATGACTGCCCAGTTGCTTAAAGGATTTGGAACTCCAATTTTGCAAGATGAAAAACATGCTGGGCATCAACAGTGTGATGACTGAAAAACATTGTGAGGACTTAATGTCACTGAACTTATACGTGTGTGTGTGTGTGTGTGTGTGTGTGTGTGTGTGTGTACTGGTGTTAGGACTTAAACTCAAGGCCTGGTCACTGTCCCTTAGTTTGTTTTTTACTCAAAGATAGCACTCTACCACTTGAACCACACCTCTACTTCTGGCTTTTGCTGCCTAACTTGAGGTAAGAGTCTCACAGAAGCTGGGCACTACTGGCTCATGCCTTAATTCTAGCTACTCAGGAGGCTGAGATCTGAGGATCATGGTTCAAAGCCAACCCAGGCAGGAAAGTCTGTGAGACTCTTACACCAATTAACCACCAGAAAACTGGAAGTGACACTGTGACTCAAAGTGGTAGAGCACTTGCGTTGAGCAAAAGAGCTAAGGGACAGTGCCTAGGCTCTGAGTTCAAGCCCCACAACAACAACAACAAAAAATAGTCTTACAGGGCTGGGAAGGTGGCTCAGTGGTAGAGCGCTTGCTTTGCATGCATGAGGCCCTGAGTTCGATTCCTCAGCACCACATAAGCAAAAAGGAAAAAGCCGGAAGTGGCACTGTGGCTCAAGTGGTAGAGCGCCCGCCTTGAGCTGAAGAGCTGAGAGACAGCGCCCAGGCCCAGAGTTCAGGTCCCCACGACTGGACCAAAAAAAAAAAAAGAGTCTTACAGAGTCTTCTGCCTGGTCTGGCTTTGAACTGTGGTCCTCAGATCTCAACCTCCTGAGTAACTAGGATTACAGGCGGGAGCCATTGTTGTCCAGTATAATATGCCTATAATCTTTTATGGCTCTTCCCATCCACTATGAGTGGGCCTATCTTCACCTCTTCTTCCAGCTGCCTGCCCCACCCCTACCCCACCCAGTCTGTACTGGCCTACCACAAGTGAGAAGTGTTGGGGAACCAAGGGCTCAGTCACCAATCATATCAACTGTCGAGCACTTTAGTGTGGCCATCCTAGACTCTCCAGGCCTTATGTCAACTGCATTATGGATTCATCCAAGACCAAGCAGGCAAATACTCTTGCTCGCATAACTTCAGAAACTTGAGCAGATAAATAGAGTTGCTGTTGTTTTTTGGTTTGGGGTTTGGTTTTGTTGTTGTTGTTGGGTTTTTGTTTGTTTGTTTTGCCAGGTCTGCAGCTTGAACTCAGGGCTGGGCACTGTCGCTGAAACAGTGCTCAAGACTAGCACTCTATCTCTAGAGCCACAGCTTTTTTTGAGTAGCTTATTGGAGGGTCTCACAAGGAGCCGGGCGCCGTTGGCTCATGCCTGTAATCCTAGCTACTCAAGAGGTAAGATCTGAAGATCACAGTTCTGAGCCAGCCCGGGCAGGAAAGTCCATGAGATTCTTATCTCCAATAAACCACTAAAAAACTGGAAGTAGCGCTGTGGCTCAAGCGGTAGAGCGCTTGCCTTGAGCTGAAGAATGCAGGGACAGTGTCCAAACCCAGAGTTCAAGCCCCACAACCGACCAAAAAAAGTCTCACAAGGGACTTTTCTGCCCAGGCTGGCTGCAAACCACAATCCTCAGATCTCAGCCTCTTGAGAAGCTAGGATTAAGGGTGTGCACCATAGTCACATTTTAAGCACTTGCTTGGGGGTGACTTGTCACATAGCAAAGCTGAAAAGCGCCCATCCTCCCTCCACACCAAGGTACCTGTCCAAGGAGTGCCAAGGACCTCCTGGCTCCAGTTGCTCCACTGGCCGAGCCCAAACTCCTCCTGGGCTCGGAGCTGCACCACGTGCCTTGTACCACGCAAGGCATCCTGGATGATGCAGCGATACTGAGAACTTCTGATCTGAGGAAGGGAGACACAGTGACTCTGGGTAGGTAGGCCCTGATGAGCAGGGAGACATGCCCTCAGCCACCCAGCCCTCACACCAAACTGGAGGCTGAGAGCAAGACAGAGTTGCCCTGAGCCACACACCCTGAAGCTATAGATCACTACACCAACCTCATCCACTAGAATAGCCTGAGAGCCACAGCCCTTGCACGCTCATATCCCACATCTCCCCCTGCCCTTTCAAACGGGCCTCTCAAGAGGAGACCCGCCTGGCATTAATTATTCCCGTCTTGTAAATGAGACAAACCAAGGCTCATAAGGTCAAATGACTTAAAAATTCAACACCGTGCAGGGAGGAAAGTACAAAGCATGACCTGGAAACCTGCTATCCCCAAGGGTCTAGAGTGCTTTTTTGCTTAGAAGTAGAAGATGAATTTACCAGCCATGTGGTGAATGACTTTGACCACTCAGCCCGGTATCGGAGTTCAAAATGGAGCCTGTAGAAGTCTGAGTTCCAGGAGTGGGGATCTTGCCAGGTGACATTGAGCCAGCGGGGGTTTCCAGGCATGGCAGTGACTTTGATGTTGGTGGGAGGATCGGGCTTCACTGTGGGAAAAGTGAGGCTTCAATGAAGCAGCCAGCAGCGTACAGAGAAGCGTGACAATTGTCCAGTCAGAACCCCAGCCTCAGAGTCTTCTCCATGAATAGCAAAGCCATGTCCTTAGTGGACACTGGTGGCTCTTGCCTGTAATCTTAGCTACCCTGGAAGCTGAGGTCTGAGGAACACAGTTCAAAGCCAGCGCAGGCAAGAAAGTCTGAGAGACTTTCATCTCCAATGAACCAGCAAAAAGGCAGGAACGGGAGGTGTGGCTCAAGTGGTAGGGCACCAATCTTGAGCAAAAAAGTTAAGGGTGTGCATGAGGCCCTGAGTTCAAATGCCAATATGAGCACCAAAAAAAAAAAATAGGGGTGGAATATTAAGTTAAATAATAAGCTGCAGAAGGGGAGAGCTACTTACGGATTGTATAACCACGGAATGCCTTATTTTCACTCAACTTGCTGCCCACACTGTTGGCGATGCACATGGTCACTGAATGCAAAGACTGGTCCCCCTCTGGGATGGCCAACTGGCAGGAGAACTTCTGGGACTCTTGAAAATACTGGCATGGCTCCTGGAAGTACACCGGGCCATTCTGACTGTGGACACAACAGAAGGTCAGTGCTCTATCACTTTCTCTCTCTTTTTTTTTCCAAGAGAGGCCAGGCCCAAGGGTTAGAAGCTCAGGCTCTGAAGTCTAATCCCAGGGTTTAAATCCCAGCAGCAGACTACACACATTTAAGGTTGCTTTTTTGTCACCCCCAACACTTAGCTTTTGTGGCTTCAAGCAAGTTATTCAACCTCTGAGTCTCTGTCTTGTCATTTGAAAATGGGAATACGATGAGTACCTCTCTAATAAGGGTTCTTTTACAGTTCACTGTATCAGCAAGGAAGCTGAGGTAGAAGGATTGTGAGTTCAAGGCCACCCGAGGCTACAGAGTGAGACTTTGTCTCAAACAGAAAAAAAAGAAGAGGAGAGAGAGAGAGAGAGAGAGAAGGAAAAAAGGAAAGGAGGGAAAGTGGGAAGGAAGGAGGAAAGAAAGAAAAGAAGGAAGGAAGGAAGGAAAGAAAGAAAGAAGGAAAGAAAGAAAGAACGAGAAAAAAAGTGGTGATGGTATAAAACCTCTAGCACCAGGAATAGTGGAGGATTAAGGGGAGAAGAAAACAAGTGCTGAGGGTCTGGGAAGGTGGCTCAGTGGTAGAGCACTTGCCTTGCATGCTCAAGGCCCTGGGTTCGATTCCTCAGCACCACATAAGCAAAAAGAAAAAAAAAACCAGAAGTGGCACTGTGGCTCAGGTGGTAGAGTGCTAGCCTTGAGCTGAAGAGCTGAGGGACAGCGCCCAGGCCCAGAGTTCAGGCCCCACGACCGGACCCCCAAGAAAAGAAAAGAAAACCAGTGCTGGAGGAGAGAGCTCAGTCTATCACTTAGGCATTAAATTAGGATGTGGTAAGCTGAGCCTTCAAGCCAGGGCCTGTGCTCTAGGAGCCACGGGCTATGCATTAGTGATTCCGGAGAGCCATGCCCCTGCCTCCCGGCTCTTGATAAAAGACTTGCCCTCAGAGTAGGAGGCGCCCTGGCAAAGCTTTTGCATTACGAAGCCCTGCATGTGAAATGGGTTCAAAAGGCCAGGCAGTGACAGGGCTTCAGGCAACTAAGTCCAGTAACCCATTCTGGGTGCTAAAGACACTTGAGTGAGTCAGATGCCATCTCTCCTGACCTGGAAGCCTGAAGGCTTGCTCACTTCCGGTGCACCTTGGTATTTGAGTCCACAGCAGTGCGTGCGTGCGGGCAGCCACATGTGCGGGCAACCACTTTCCCTAGGTCAAGTCACTGTCTCTGCAGTGGGTTTGAGCTCTGGGCCCAGGCTGTGTCTAGCACCTGGGACAATCAGCCTTCTAGAAAGGATTCCCTAGTCCTTGCAGTGTGAGTTAATGCTGCCTTCAGGCTCCTAGCCCACCTAACCTGAGAAGGCAGATTGGCATTGGAAGGCAGAGCCCATCCTATTCCTCTCTCCTCTTTCCCACTGCCTCCAGCAGGGATCCTGTCCCAAGGCAGATGCTCAACTTTCCACACTATGTAGGGAAGCAATGTGATGGGGTGAGGATGGGAAGGTAGGCAGGCACCATCAGCCTTCACTTCCCTAGGGTTCTCTAGATTGTTGTCTAGATTCCAAAGCAGATCTTACAGCACCTAAAGCTGCTGACAGGCAAGGGTGGGGGAGTGGAGCTAAAGACCCTGTTCCTGTTCCCTGGCCCCATTTCCCTGTCAACAAGGTCCTCTAGGTGAGCTGGGCAAAGGGTGAAAGCCTCCAGGGCTGATCTGGGAGCTATCAGCCTCTGAGGAAAACACACTGGATGATCTCCAATCCCAAACATTGTGTATCTAAACCCAGCCAGGCTGTGAGGCGTTCTGATCTCGACTTTGGGGTGGGGAGTGGAATGTGCTAACAGTTCTCCTGGCAGCTGCGATATTTGCAGATGGGTGACTGGCACTTTTCTGCACAGTGATGCCAGGCAGGCTTCCTAGCAATTCTTTGGAGACAGACACAAACGGAAACCCAACTGTGTTGAATCACACCTCTGTTTTTTTAATCAAGGCTGGCACTTGACTACTTGAGCCATGCCTCCAGCCCGGTTTTTGGCTGGTTATTCTGGAAATGCAGTCTGTGGACTTTTCTGACCCAGTTTGTTTTATGCTCTCATGACTCCATTCACAGCACTGAGCTTTGGGGAATGCACATTAAAAAGTAATGCAGGTCTAGTCAGACACAAAGCAGTGGTAACTGAAATCACTAAGTGATTAAGGATTAGTGTATTCAGCATGGAGGACTAAAGGATGATTCACCACCTGGGAAAGATGACACAAGATATCATCAGGCTACTCAGAATGGCACAATTTCAAACTTAAGAATTGCTTATTTCAGCCGGGAACTGGTGGCTCACGCCTGTAATCCTAGCTACTCAGGAGACTAAGATCTGAGAACCTCAGTTCAAAGCCAGTCAGGGCACAAAAGTACATGAGACTCTTATCTCCAATAAACCACCAGAAAACAGGAAGTGGCACTGTGGCTCAAGTGATTGAGCGCTCGCCTTGAGCTGAAGAGCTCAAGGACAGTGCCCAGGCCCAGAGTTCAAGCCCCATGACCAACAAATGAACAAACAAACAAATTGCTTATTTCTAGAATTTTCCACTTAATATTTTTGTACCAATTGACTGAGGGTGACTGACACCAAGGAAATTGAAGAATGTGAAAAAAATCTCTAGCTATTAAAGACTACTGCACTCTGATGACTGAACTCAGACAATTCTAAACATCTAGCACCTGTCATTCTAGCCACAAAGGTGGCTGAGATCCAAAGGATAACACTTCCAGGTTGGCCCAAGCAAACAAGCTCACAAGATCCCAACCCAACAGAAAAAGCTGAGCATGGTAGCATGAGCTTATCATCTGAGCTATGGCTGAAAGGGTAAAGATCATGACAGGCCCAGGCAAAAAGATCCTCTCTCTCTCTCTCTCTCTCTCTCTCTCACACACACACACACACACACACCAGCACAAAGGGCTGCAGGAGCTGGGTGCCAGAGGTTCACTCCTGAAATCCTAGCTACTCAGGAGGCTGAGATCTGAAGATCGTGGTCTGAAGCTAGCCTAGGTAGGAAAGTCTATTCAAGTCTCATCTCCAATTAACTATGAAAAAGCTGAAAGTGTTTCTGTGACTCAAGTGGTAATAGCCTGGAGCAAAAAAGCTAAGGAAAATTAGCCAGGCCCTAAATTCAAGCTCTAGGACTGGCGCGCACACACACATACACACAAAGCAAGAGCCTGCAGATATGTCTTCAAAGTAGAGCACTTATCCGGGCGCCAGTGGCTCATGCCTATAATCCTAGCTACTCAGGAGGCTGAGATCTGGGATCTGAGATCTGAGGCTGGTTCAAAGCCAGCCCTGGCAGAAAAGTACATGGGACTCTTATCTCCAATAAACCACCAGAAAACCCAAAGTGGTGCGGTGGCTCAAGTAGTTTAGTGCTAGCCCTGAGCTAAAGTGCTGAGGTGCAACACCCAGGCCCAGAGTTCAAGCCCCTGACCAAAAAATAAAATAAAATAAAAGTAGAGCACCTATCTTGCAAGCATGAATCCCTGAATTCAAACCTCAGTACAGGGACTGGGAATGGGGCTTAGTGGTAGAGTGCTTGCCTAGCATGCATGAAACCCTGGGTTCAATTCCTCAGTACTTCATAAACAGAAAAGGCTGGAAGTGGTACTGTGGCTCAAGTGATAGTATGCTAGCCTTGAGCAAAAGAGGCTCATGGACAGTGCCAGGCTGAGTTCAAGCCTCAGGACTGGCAAAATAATAATATAATAATAATAATAACAATAATAATAATAACCTCAGTACAAAAAAAATCAAAGAAAGAGCTGGGCACTGGTGGCTCACATCTGTAATCCTGACTTAGCTACTCAGGAAGCTGAGATCTGAAGGTCCTGATTCAAAGCCAGCCAGGACGGGCAAGTCTGTGAGACTCTTATCCACAATTAACCACCAAAAAAACAGAAGCAGAGCTATGGCTCAAAGTGGTAGAGCCCTAGCCTTGAGCAAAAAAGCTCAGTGACAGTGCCTAGGCCCTGAGTTCATAATGAAGGAAGGAAGGAAGGAAGCAAGGAAGCAAGGAAGGAAGGAAGGAAGGAAAGAAGGAAGGAAGGAAAAGAAAAGAAAAGAAAAGAAAACCATAAACTTCTAAACTAAGAGACTTTGACTTGGGAGCAAAGTCAGGCAAAACTGCTAAGCAGTGATCAAGATCTCCCACCTCTGCTCCATACTTGGCTAATCTCACCTTAGGTCTCCAGCTTTGTGACATCTTCCATTGACAGGTCAGGGACTCCATTCAGGCAGGGCATCTGTCCTCACTGCTCTAGGCCCCAACTCCCCACCCAAGACTACTTCCTGTCTCCTTACCTTTCTAATGGAAAAAGGCTGTTATGCTCACAGGATCAAGACACTGATAAAGGCCTCCCCACTCCATTTGCATCTTCTTCCGAGCAAGGGACAGTCATTAAAAGCAGACTGGATTCCCAGTGAACCACAGACTATCTAGATGACCTTAAACAAATCAACCCATCTGTCTGAACCTCAGTTTCTCTGTTAAGAGACAATATACTAGCCACTTCCCTGTAGGTGCGTGACAGCTGGAGTTCTCAATTCCCAGTGCCCAGCCCAAAAGAAGAGCTCATTTTCCTCCCCCTTGCTTATCCTACAGGAATCATGTCCTTTTCTTTTCTTTTCTTTTCTTTTGTCGGTCGTGGGGCTTGAACTCTGGGCCTGGGCGCTGTCCCTCAGCTCTTCAGCTCAAGGCAAGTGCTCTACCACTTGAGCTACAGCGCCACTTCCTCATTTCCTTTTCTTTTCTCTTCTGGTGGTGCTTGGAGTTGAACGGATGGCCTCACGTATGCTATTACCTCTGGCTCCAGTCCCAGAAATTATTTTCTGCTGATAAAATTTTGGAATCCCTAGCCAGTCAGTTAAAGAGGGTTCCTTTAAGAGCCCCCCCCACACACACACACACCGCTCTGCGCCCTCAGGCTCTGCCTAGGCTACTTACAACTTTTCCACGAACAGTACAGCCTCGGTCATTGGGGAAGGGGCGCTCTGAGGACTCCACTCACAAGTAACATTTTGGATGAGGCTCTTCCGGAAGCAGAAGAGCTGGGGTCTCCTGGGAGGAACTGAAAGGAAAACACAGCAGGCTGAGGATACACTCGGCTTCCTGGGAGCACTCTGCCCTGCACCACTGCTGAACCGAAGAGCCCGGCAAGAAGATGCTGGAATGGGAGGTGAGGTACCACCTTCAGACTCCTGTCTAAAGGAGAGGGGAGCCTGGCACTGGTGGCTCACTGCTATAATCCTAGCTACTCAGGAGGCTGAGATGTGAGGATGGAGGTTTGAAGCCAGCCTGGGCAGGAAAGTCCATAAGACCCTTATCTCCAACTTACTACCAGAAAAGCAGGAAGTAGAGCTTTGGCTCAAGTAGTAGAGTACTACCCTTGAGTACAAAAGATCGGGGACAGCATCCAGGCCCTGAGTTCAAGCTCCAGGACCAGCCCACGCATGTGGAAATGTGGGGACGGGGAGGTAGATTCATACAACGTGGCTAAGCAAGTCCCAGCCTCCTTTCACTTTCCTGACCTCTAAAATGAACTGATAGTGTTGTAATAATATAGCTTTCCCTCCCCAGGTTACACAACAGGCAAGCAAGAAAGTGCATTGAGCCAGGCACAGGTGGCTCCTGCCTGTACTCCTAGCTACTAAGGAGGGTAAGATCTGAGGATCTCGATTCAAAGCCAGCCAGGGCAGGAAAGTCCATGAGACTTTTATCTCCAATAACCCCGCCAGAAATCCAGGAGTGGCACTGTGGCTCAAATGGTAGAGCGCTAGCCTTGAGCTGAATTGCTAAGGGACAGCGCCCAGGCCTAGAATTCAAGGCCCACAACTGATCCCCACTCCCCCCAAAAAAAGAGAACTCAGTATATGCTATGCACGGTGTGTGTGTAAGTTTATTTAATCTTTATAGCATTAAGATCAGGTAATAAAATTACTTTCATTTTGCCAAAGGAATCAGAGGCAGGGAAGTTTAGTTGTATTGGAAAGGAGCAGGATTCAAACCTAGGCTGCTGGGCTCCAAGCCAATCTACCATTAGGCCAGTCAAACCATATCCATCAGTAGCCCTAGGCCCTAACCCAGCAGGAACTTCCTTTAGTACTTCCCTGGCAGATATCAGTGTACCTTTTTCCCTAAATTCTTGGGCCAAAGAAATAACAGGAGCTTAAATGGGATATCTTCCCACTTTTTCTGCTTATGTGGTGCTGCGGAATCGAACCCAGAGCCTTATGCATGCAAGGCAAGCACTCTACCACTGAGCCACCTTCCCAGTCTCTAAATGGGAAATCTTTAGATGGGAAATCCTTCTGGAATGCACAGCACCACATTTCTTATGGACCTTGGAGTTATCCTGAGAACCAGGTACAAGAGCTCTGCAAACATAACTCACCATCCACCAATAAGTGCACAGTTCCTGCCAGGTGGCCGTCCAGGTAGCATGAATAGTTCCCAGTGTCACTGAGCTCCACTGACCTCAGAAGCAGCCTCTTTCCCACACCAGCCCACCTTTTGTGTGGTGAGCCGGCGAGCAGCCAGTGAACAGTGGTATTGTCTGAAAGTTCTTCCACTGGGCAGGTCAGGGTGACACTGGCCCCTGGCAGGCTGGTCAACACGTCACTTGGTGCCTCTGAGAAGAGAAAACACTCGGTGAACCACAGCCACCTGAAAATGGCACTGTTTCTGACTTGAAGGGGCCAAGGAAGCCTCTGTATCATACCTTCAGATTCCACCCAAGGCCCGGCTCACATCATCTCTGTCTGGATGCGGACAATGGCCTCCAGTACTCTCCTCAACCCACCCAACTGCTCCAGTTTACCCTCTTAAGCCATAATCCCACCACCCCGTCTCTTGATTAGAAAACCCTTGGGCACAGTGACTCAAACCTGTAGTTCTGACTTGTTGGAAGGCAGAAATCCAGAGGATTGCAGATCCAGGCCAGCCAAGGCAGAAAAGTTCACTAAGACATCATCTCAACCAATGGCTGGTTCAGTGGCATAAGCTTGCTATTCCAAGCATAGTGGGCTAGGCGCAGTGCTTGTACCTATCATCCCAGCAACCAAGGGACGCACAAAATAGGAGGACCACAGTACAGGCTAAACTAGACATAGAGACCCTATGCCAAAATAAACAGACACAAAAGGGGGCTGGCAGAGTGATTGAAGTGATAGAGCACCTGCTTAGCAAGCATGAAGCCATGAGCTTAAACCTCAGTGCTGCCAAAAAAAGAAAGAGAGAGAGAAAGAGAAGGGGAAAGGGAAAGGCAAGGCAAGACAAAGCAAGGCAAGGCTTCAATTTAAGGGCCTGCCACTGTCTTTTGGTTTTTTTTTTTTGGGGGGGGGTCCGGTCGTGGGGCCTGAACTCTGGGCCTGGGCACTATCCCTCAGCTCTTCAGCTCAAGGCTAGCGCTCTACCACTTGAGCCACAGCACCAGTTCTGGCTTTTTTCTTTTTGCTTATGTGGTGCTGAGGAATCAAACCCAGGGCCTCATGCATGCAAGACAAGCGCTCTACCACTGAGCCACCTTCCCAGCCCCAGGCCTGCCACTGTCTTCAGAATGAAGCCCAAGAGGTTCTGCATAGCCCAGGGGACATTCCTCCTGCCCCTGCTGGTTCAGAGGCCTCATCTCTTGACATCCCTTTAAAAGATCCAGAGTGTCTCTCTCTCTCTCTCTCTCTCTCTCAGGCTCCATTGTGCCTCTTCCCCCACACCATTCCCCAGGACAGTGGCTCCTATTTTGTATCTCAGCCTGGACATCCTTTCTCCAGAGGCTTCCCCTGTTCCCTAGCTGGACTGGGCACCAGTATATCACCCATCACATGCTGTTACATGATTACCATGTCCAAGTCTGTCTTCCCCTCAGGACTCCAAACCCCACAAGAATAGACACCATGTTTTATTTAGTACCTCAATGATTGCCTTGCACATGGCAGGAGCCCACTAAGAAACTGACAAATTAATGAGTAAATGAGTGAATGGGTGAATGAATGAATGTGTCAAGGAATTAATTCCAGGTACCCAAGGAGGACTCCTGGAATACATGAGTAGTCACAGAGTCTTTACTGGTCCATTTGAGAGATGTCCACAGACATAGAAGAATCAGGAATCAAGTACAGGGTCACCAACAGCTGTACAGGCGTGCGGCTGCATAGCTAGCAGGTGAACCAGGTCTTCTGATTCTCTGCTCCAGGCTCTTTCCAGAACCGGACACCTCCCTAGTCTATACTACTGTTAGTATTGTTTTTATCCTAGGGAAAAATAGGGAAGAAAAAAAAAAGAGCATTCCTCATCTTCTGGAGAAAAAAAAAAAATATATATATATATATATATATTCCTCATCCCTACACACACACTTGCTACTACTCTAGGGGAAAAAAAAGATTAAAGATTAAAGAAACATACTGTTTTGTGGTTACAGATTCACAGAATCTAAGATAAAAATTAGCCACACTTCAACCCACAAACTGGGGGAAACTCTTCACCAGCTATTTAATAGATAAAGGATTAATATCCAAACTATACAGACAACTCAAAACATTAAACAAGGCCGGGCATTGGTGGCTTACGCCTAGCTACTCAGGAGGCTGAAATCTGAGGATCACGTTTCAAAGCCAGCCCAGGCAGGAAACTCAGTGAGACTCTTATCTCCAATAAACCACCCAGAAAACTAGAAGTGGTGCTGTGGCTCAAATGATAGAGTGCTTGCCTTGAAGAGCTGATAGTGCCCAGGCCCAGAGTTCAAGGCCCATGACCAACAAAAAATAAACAGCTGATGCCGGTGGTTCACACCTGTAATCCTAGCTACTCAGGAGGCTGTGATCTGAGAATCGCGGTTCAAAGCCAGCCCGGGCAGGAAAGTCCTTGAGACTTATCTCCAATAAACCACTAGAAAACTGGAAGTGGCACTGTGGCTCAAGAGGTAGAGCATTCTCCTTGAGCTGAAGAGCCCAGGAACAGCGCCCAAACCCAGAGTTCAAGCCCCATGACTGACCAATAAATAAATAAATAGACTAACCCAATGAATAAATTAGCAAGTGAGGTAAGCAATTCTCAAAAAAGACACATAAATGCCTAATAGATAGATGAAAAATGCCCACCATTCTTAGCCATAAAGGAAATGCAAATCAAAACTACACTAAAATTTCATCTCATCCCAGTAAGGTAGCGATCATCAAGAAAACAAGCCATAGCCAAATAAATGCCAGTGGCTCTTATCTGTAATCCTAGCTACTCAGGAGGCTGAGATCTGAGCATTACATTTCAAAGCCAGCCTAGGCAGGAAAATCTGTAAGGCTTTTACCTTTAATTAACTACAAAAGGAAAAAGTGGGAAGTGGAGCTATAAGTCAAGTTGTAAAGCACTAGCTTTGATCAAAAAAGCTCAGAGACAGCACCCAATGTCCAGGCCCTTAGTTCAAGCCCCAGAACTGACAAGCACATATACGCATGTGTGTGCGTGTGTGCATACACACACATACACATATGCTAGTGAACACAGAAGGAAGAGCAGGATAGTGAGCCCTTATACACTGTTGGTGGGAATATAAATTAATGCAACCTATGGAAATCAGGGTTTCTCAAAAAACTAAAGCCAACCACTGGTGGCCCATGCCTATAGTCCTGGCTACTCAGGAGGCTAGCATCTGAGGATCAAAGTTCAAATTCAGCACAGGCAGACAAATCTGAGATTCTTATCTCCAGTTAACTAGTAAAATTCTGGAAGGGAAGGATAGAGTAGCAACCATGAGGGAAAAAGAATGAAAGACCCTGAGTTCAAGTCAGAGTACTAGCATACACACCACACACACACACACACACACACACGCCTAACTTCTTTAGGCCCATCAATAAAGTTAATGCAACTGAGAAAATAGAGGCCAGGGAGCATGTTAAGGACATTTTGGTCCTACAGGCTAAACAGATATGTACATATTAGCACGTAGCAGCAATACATCTGACCATTGGTTTTAGAAAAGCCAACAGTTGACTGAGTACCTAACCTCCCCCCAGCAGTGCTCCTGGGACTGAGGACAAGCATCCAAGTGTCTCTCCTGGAGCTAAGTCTTCCTGCTTGGGAGGAGTTTTTACCTCCTGCAGCCTGTAACTCCTCCCTCTTTATCCCAGAGGAGAGAGTAAGGCTCCATAATTCTCTGGTGGACCAGACTGAATCCAGCAGAGGCTGGCTACCTCCAACAGACACAGGCCCATTAAGGATGAACATGGAAGAAGCAGAGACAGCTTCTGTGTGGCATCAGTCCCACAACATGGGGTGAGAGTCCTCTACCTGAGCATACCCTATTTGAGGCTAGCAGAAAAGAGACAGACGCAAGACCACAGTGACAGCCACTTAGCTAACGTTTTCTCTCTTCCCCAACAGGGCTCTGGATTTGTAGGGTGGAAAAAAGAAAAAACAGTTGACTGTCATCAAGAAGCCAGCATTTGGGGAGGTTTCTTGGACCCCTCTGGCTTCACTTTTCCCCACAGCGAGGCCCTCTCTCTGTCCTTTGTGCAAGCCAAGATGTGAGGAGGCCGCAGCAGCCAGCAAGGTGGAGGACACGGATGAAGTATCAGCATGCTCCTGACTGCACAAGACACATTCCACTGAGGGAAGTAAAGGGAGGAATTCTATGCCTACAGGGCTTCAAGGAATCATCAAAATAAACCCCTAATTCCAAGCTGGGCATTGGTGGTTCATGCCTGAGTAACCTAGATACTCAAGAGGCTGAAATCTAAGGATCACAATTCAAAGTCAGACTGGGCAGGAAAGTCCATGAGATTCTTAATCCATTTAGCTAGCAAAAAAAAAGCCAGAAGTAGAGCTGTGGCACAAGTGGTAGGGTGCCAGCCTTGAGTGAAAAAGACTGTACCTAAAAGGGGAGCACCCAAGCCTTGAGTTCAAACCCTAGTGCCAACACAAACCAACCAACAAGGCAGGTTAGGAGCAGCAAGCTAAACCCAAAGACAGAGAACCAATGTGCATCCAAGTCCAAGGACCATGGACAGCTCATCATTTCTTACACACTTTTCTTTCCTTTTTTTTTTGGGTCCGGTCGTGGGGTCTGAACTCTGGGCCTGGGCGCTGTCCCTCAGCTCTTCAGCTCAAGGCTAGCGCTCTACCACTTGAGCCACAGCTCCATTTCCGGCTTTTTTCTGCTTCTGTGGTGCTGAGGAATCGAACCCAGGGCCTCATGCATGGGAGGCAAGCGCTCTATCACTGAGCCACCTTCCCAGCCCCACTTTTCATAGCCAGAGTGATGGGCCACAGCAGGCTGATTCAGCCAACCACAGACCACGGGTCCCACGGTGGACCGTCCCAAAACCATAACAAAGCTGAACAGTTCCTGTTGTCCAGAGCAGTTGGAGCCATCATAAGGTTGAACACCAACACGTTATTCACCTGTTTGTGGGGATGCCATGTGAACAAATCTACTGAGCTTCCAGCCATATGAAGGAGGGAACCACACGGGGGGGGGGGAGGGGAGCAGGGCTCAGTGGTAGTTATGCGTCCATCATTATTTCAGAATGTACTGTTATTTACTATTTTTTCTGTTTTTGTTTTGTTTTGTATGGTGTGTGTGTGTGTGTGTGTGTGTGTGTGTGTGTGTGTGTGTGTGTGTATGCTGGTCCTAGGATTTGAACTCAGGGTCTATGTCCCTGAGCTTTTTTGCTCAAGCCTAGCACTCTACTGGCTTGTGCCACAGCTCTGATTCCAACTTCTGGTGGCTAATTGGAGATAAGAGTCTCACACACAAATATGCAGTAGACATGTTATGTGCTGGCACAACATAGTGTGTGTGTGTGTATGTGTGTGTGTGTGTGTGTGTGTGTGTGTTCTGGAGCTTGAACTCAGGGCCTTTATGCTCTTGCTTGGCTTTTTCACTCAAGTCTGGCACCCTACCAATTGAGCCACATCTCCATTTCTGGCTTTTTGCTGGAGAGAAGAGTATCACAGACTTTTCTGCCCATGCTGCTTGATCCTCAGATCTCAGCCTCCTGAGTAGCTAGGATTACAGGCGTGAGCCACTGGCCTTGAGAGGACACATCAAGTGACTGACCTACGCCATCTAGTTTTGTGCAATTCTACGGCAGCCACACAACCAGTGGGTGCCACATCTCTCAGGAAATGTCCCCATCATTAAGTGATACATGACTGTGTTCAGGCCCCCACTTCCCAGGATGCCACAGATCCTGCTGCACTGAAGAATCCAGTAAGCACTTCATCCATATTTGCTTGATGTAGGATACCTGAGTGGTGCCCACGGGGACAGAGTCTGCACACCGACAGCCCCATGATGGGGGACACAGTGGCCCTGTGTCTATTGTCCCCTGCATTGTGCAGTGGGCAGACCTTGCACTGAGGTCCAGAGAAGCCAGCTTTTCACCACCAGGAGATGCTGAGGCAGGAAAACGAGTCTGGAGTCTCTTGTGTCTGCCTCTGCCATTTCCAGAAAGAAACATGTCATTTTCCTAACCCTTCTTTTCCAGACACAAGCCCTTGGGTGTTTGGTGGCTTACTGACCACATGAACAATGGCAGGGGCTCTTCTATCACTGCCCTCACTAACAGCAGGAGTTCGTGTGGGGGGTGGATGGGAGGAGAGGCGGGTGTTCAGAACAACATCAAATAAAAAGACTTTCTCTTCCCTTCTACAAAAGCAGAGCTTCGGGGAGGAACATAATGGCCACTTCCTTTGCCAAGGAACTTGAGTAATGCTTTCTGAATCTTTGAAACTGAGTCACTGGTTGGTGTGTGTTGATCTTTTTTTCTTTTTAATAGGGAGCGATTAATTATAAACCACCCATTGGCAAGAATTGCCAGTCATAGCCTTGCTTCAAAACATATTTTTTCTGAGACCTGGAAACAATGCTGTGTTAACTTTGCTCTTAAAAGCATTGTACATCAAATGATCCCAAGAGTACTCATAGAGGAAATGAACATAAGAAGGTTGTCTAAGGGCAGTTCAGCATCTGACTAGCAAGCATGAGGCCCTGAGTCCAAATCCCAGTATCATGATAGCACTGGCCCTCTCATCCACCTACCTGCTCACCTCTGTTTCCTGACCCACTTCTGAGCAGTGACACCGGGTAGCAGTGGGTGAATCTCAGGATTGAGTGGATCTTTGAAGAGGAGGAAGTACCCTCCTAGGACCTCTGCCTCCCCAAAGATGAGACTAGAGGGATTTTTTTTCCTCTATCTTTGTTTTCTGAGACAGAGATTATGTTATCCACACAGGCCTTGAACTCCTGGGCTCAAGCAATCCTTCTACCTTAGCCTCCCATTAGCTGGGATGTGCCATTTAATTAGCTACAGCATGTACCACCACCTTTGGATTTTCTGTGGTTTTTATATTTTCTACAAGTTGCTTGTCCTTATAATGGAAACACTAGGTAGCCTGGGCCTGTCCCATTTATTACTCGAGGAGGAAAGGGTAGGGAGCATTGGAGATAAGAGGGGATTTCTCAAGATAAGCAGCTTCCAAATTACCTTCAGGCCAGAGTGCTCCCATCTTGCCCTCACAAAGTTCTTTGTGTCCCATGCTGGACTCTGCTCCCTCAGCTCATCCTTCCTTGTACATCTGACTCCCAGCTGGCAAAGGTCCCATCCTTAGTTTATCCTCAGTTCCTCCCTTCTGTCCTTTAAGAGCCCCATAGGAAAAAAAAAAAAAAAAGGGCCAAAGGGAAGAGACCCAGCAAGAACCAGGTGAGGGCATGTTGCTGGGAGCACCCCTTCTTACAAGTCAGGCCTCCACACAACCAGAGCCTGGCATGTGTACCCAGTGCAAGGAATGGCAGGCACTACATGAGCTGCAATTCAGCCAAGAGTATCTAGCATCTGCCCTTGAGCGATTGCTTAGCCTTTTGGAGCCAGGATTGCCAGCTTGTGCCTGCTCCTCCTGAAAAATTCAAGAATGTTTGTATATCATCTTATGCAAGGCCAGAAGTTCCTAAGCCAAGAAGAAGAAGTAAGAGTCACTGTATATCTAAAATAAATATCCCCAATAAAGCTAGGCAATGGAGGCTCATGCCTGTAATCCAAACTAACTCAGGAGCCTAAGATCTGAGCACTGAGGTTCCAAGCCAGCCCAGGCAGAAAAGATTGAGGCTCTTATCTCTAGTTAACCACCAAAAAGCAAGAAGTAGAGGTATGGCTCAAGTGGTCCAGCACCAGCCTTGAGGGAAAAAGCTAGAGGAGAGCACTGAGGCCCTGAGTTCAAGCTCCAATACCAACATGTGCCAGAGTGTGCTCACGCGCATGCGCGCACACACACACACACACACACACACACACACACACACACACACATATACATACCCCAAAATAAAGAAATAAACAAGTAAATCTCTAACAAGGAGCAAGAAAAAGGAATAAATCATCCTAAAACAGGGAAGTGAGATTTGAGCAATATCTTGAGAAGTGAGTGGGAATTTGATAGGCAGAGCTACCGGGGGTGGCATATCAGAAAGAAGGAACTTTGCTGGGTGTTGTTGGCTCACACCTGCAATCCAAGAGGCTGAGATCTGAGGATCATGTTTCCAAGCCAGCCCGAGCAGGAAAGGCTATGAGATTTGATCTCCAATTGACCACCCCCAAACCAGAAGTGAAGCTGTGGATCAAAGTGGTAGAGTGCTAGCCTTGAGCACAAAAGCTCAGGGACAGTGCCCAGGCCCTGATTCAAACCCCAGGACTGACACAAAAAGAAAAGAAAAGGAAAAAAAGAAAGAAGGAACTCCATAGAGAAAGGCATACTAAAATAAGTGTTCTAGACAGCACTGCGGTCTACAGAGTCTGTAACACAGGAAGACAAGATGAGGGGGAATAGATAGGGCGTGAGACCCTGTCTATCTCAGCCTCTTGCTGGTCAGCTGACTCGGCTTCCTGCTTTCCTTTCCTTCCCCCATCATCTTGAGGATGAACTAACTCTGCCCCTAGCTACTAGTGCACCATAAAGCATCACAGAGGAGGAAGGGAGGGAGAAAGGAGCATCCAGGAACTGAGGCTTCTTACTTTCTGCCAAGACCAATGTCACAAGGACTGAGGGAGGAACTAATCCTGGGTTCCTACTGGGACACTGTAGATTTGTTGGTAGTGCCTCACCTGGGACTGAGGATCAGGAAAGGAGACTGAGTTGCCAAAGTATCTTTGTACCACCACCGCCACCCCAGATAGATTTGTTGTCTGTTGTGGCTTAACTAGTTGGGTGGAGTTGGATTTCCACAAAAGTTTTGCCTTGTTTTGTTCTTTAATATAAATTGCATCTCTGAGAGCAAGAGGCCATGTGGTGTAGAGGAAATAACTCTGCATGTGGTGTAGAGGAAACAGCTCTTGCCTCTGACTTGTAGGCAGCCGTGGGCACGTCTGCCCAGGCAGGATCTGCTCGTGTGAAAACAAAGGTTCTGATCATGATCTGAACTCTGTGGTCTAGCCTGCCACTAATTCTCCCAAATCATCAGCTCTCAGAGGACAAGAAAAGCATCTGTTTACTTCAGACAATGAATTCCCAGCTTAAAATACTTAATCCATCAATTTATTATTTTTAATAGGTGATGGCTTAAAGGCAGAGAGGTGAGTGATCAGATCATCCCGAAGCCTTGAGACAAATTCTTCTTTCCCTAGCCTTCCACTCCTCAAAAGGAGAACTTGAATTCTGGTAAATCCCAACCCACAATTCTACAACTCCAGCTCCAGTAGCTGTAACCCCTTACCCTGGAGCACTGGACACCATCATAGCCCATGTACCTTTCCCACTGGGACTTCTCAACAGAGCTCTGAGAAGTGGGGCTCCCCTCCCCACGAAGGATTTCAGGTTGGGTGCCAGAAAACCAAATAATTTTGTTGTTGCTCTAATTTTTTCCCCTTTTCACATAAACTTGTAAATGCCAATAACAAGAGAAAAACACACAGACCAAGACACACATTTCTCAATTCTCTTACAGCTTACTGCTGCTCTTGCCAGCAAAAACAAGTTCAGCTTCCCAGCCCCATTTATGTAAGCAGGGAGCCAGCTGCCTGGCCTGCCATGGAACACACGGCCTTCACTTGGGTCTGCTAATCCCATCTACTGCTCTTAACAGAGACCTGGGGGCCAGCTGGCCACCAGGATACCACCAAGCCTCTCAGGTTGCAGGAACACAGGGTTTCAGACAAGGTCACAGAGGAGCCAAAGGCCCCTTCTCAGCACTGAAGCCCTTGATCTGGAAGGAGATGGGTATCAAGAGGTTGCCAGGAGAGTTGGGCACCTCAGGTTCAAAAGGAAACAAATACACTTTGGTCCCTGAGGGCTAGGACAGGTTCCCCTTATTCCCAGTCACCTTTCCTTGCATTTTCTATTTAAGGACCAGAGAATGTGATAATGTCCCATTGGAAGTCAGCCTTCTGATATGTGTTAAGAACCATAAACTATCATTATAGAGTGCTCCCTTTAACACTGGGGTACTTTACCCAAATGTAGTCTGCTCCGTGCAGCAACCTTCCAGGGAGGGAGACTCAAACCCATCCCACTGTTGGAGTAGCAGAGATCAGAGAAATGAAGGAACTGGCTGTCATTCACACAGCTCGGGGGAAGAGCAGGGGGTATGCTGGGCCTTAGTGTGGATGGCCGGAGCCTCTCTCAGACCTGGCCAGGTAACTCTCTGGGACCCTCCCCAGCTACCCCACTAGGAAGGAACCCTGAGTATTGAAGGGAATATCTAGTGGGGAGGGAGCCTCTTCCTCATAGCCAGTTGTACCTAGTGGGACTCTGGGGATTTCCCTGGAGAGTCCAGAGTCACACCCTTGAGCTTTCTCCGCCTGCTCTGTACCAACAGTATTTGTGTGTTGAGCTGCAGCTTAAATCTACTCAGGCCAAGAGCATGGCAGGTCAAGATTAGGCTCTGAAATATGGCCCCTGCTGCCTCCTCTAACCCTCTTCCAAATTCACTTACATTAGCCACTGCTGCACTCCCACCCCGCCCACTAATGTGTTTGTACTTCTTGTACCTGCTCGTATTTGCCTCATGTTTGGCAGAGTCAGTATTTACCTTGGCTCAGCTTTCCTCTCCATCCACACCACAAGAGGCTCATAAACCACTGGGAGAAAGGCCAGGGGGTGAGGGGACCCGAGAGGAGTCCTTTAGGCCCCCAAAAAGGTAAGGCTGGGTGTTGACTGGGGGGACCCATGCGTGGGACCTGTTGTTCCAGGGGAGCACTTGCCCTCCCCTGGCAACAGGCAGAGATCACTCCATGGCCTGGAACCAAGAAGATTGGCAGGGGTCACCGCTCAGAGATTATAAATTAATTAGAGGGAAAGGTATTCAAAGGCAGGGAGGACAACCCTACCCCACCCAACCCCCATCTGGCCTCTTAAAGAGATTAGAGCTGGCACTGTAAGCCAGCCCAAGCTGGACCTGAGCAGAAAAGCATTGGTTCCCTAGAGGTCTGTCCTGGGACCTTGGTCTACAAAGCCACCAAGAGGAGGCGCTGTGGCTGGGAGTGGGTGCTGAGATAAGGCAACTACTTGAAGACCCAAAAGCCTTTGTGGAGGGCCCAGAAGTGTGGGCTGTCAGTGTGCCATGTGGCCAGGACTGGACCCCTGGGCTCTGGACTCTCTACTACCCTCAGCCCTCCTTGGAGTACAACACGATGTCTGGCTTCTCAGCTCTGACTGTGTCTTAACTAGGTGCCTGGCCATGGTCAAGAGTTCCTGGAAGGTAGGAGGAGAGGGGCAAGAAAAAGGGACCTGATGTATGTCCCCCTTCCCCTCCAGGCCATATCTACCTGTCACCACCCTCCTCTGCCCCCACACCCATCTCTAGATAGCAGGAAGAAAAGCTCCAGATTTGAAAAGTCACAATGGGAGGCACCTCCCCCCCCCACTCCCTCTCCCTCTACTTTCCCTTCCTCCTCCCCCTCCCCCTCTGAGGCTCCTGGACTAAAGTTCTTACTCTGAGGTGTAGTTCCACGTGGATGTGGTGTTGGTGAAGATTCCTGGAGCTGCCCACTCTGTTAGGCGACATAACACACTGCCAATAATACACACACACACACACACACACACACACACACACGCAGCTCACTCTACTACCTCTCAAAGGAAGCAGATCGGAGGTGCATTGGGCACACCCTCCTTCCCTGACACTTGGGTACCCAGATTTCCTGCCCAGCTCATCCTTCTTATGACAAGAGCTCCAGACTCTGCTTCTAGCTACAAAGACGTCAGTGCTCCCTAAACTAATCTCAAATAAAAATACCAACACGACCTTTTTATAAACTGAGCATGCTGATTCTAAAGTTCAAATGGAAAAGAAAATAGGAAAGATAGCCAGGAAAACTATGGAAAGAAAAAAAAAGCAGAGAAATGAAAGGGGGATTAATTCTGTCAAACTAAGGACATATTATAAAGCTACAGTAATTAAAACACTGTGGTACTGGTACATAAATGGAGAGGGAAAAAATATGAAAGAGACTAGAAAGGTCAGAAATAAAAATCAGAGATTGAAAGTAGAGTTTAGGGTGGAGCACTTGTCTAGCTTTCACAAAGCCCAGGGTTTGATCCCCAGC